CTTTCAGGAACTCAGCAGCAGGGAAAGTGTTTGTGCAACCATCCTTGATTTGCAGTAAAATCTTGTTCTCTCTACACACAAAAGATTGATTGCTTCTGAATTCTTCACAGTTTTGGGGATAATAAATATTTATTGAAAATAGATTGCACACAGCACCACCATTTGGTAGCTTCATCCTCTCTGGATTTGGAACTCCAGCTGAGACCTAACTTAAGGGTATTATAAAGAATTATTAGATAAATTACAGATCCTGGCTTAGGAATGGATAGGAAACTGATGACTCCAGAAATCTTGGCCGCAGACATTGAACCATCTTTTCAGGGCAAGTGCTAGAATGAATGAACTATTTTATTTTTTGTCTTTTTATCACAAATCAAATTCTGAAAAGGGAGCATCCAACAGGCATAGAATATAATACTGTTTCTCAAGGTGCAGGCTGCACCAGCTGCACCTGGGGACTTGTTTGAGGGTTAACTTGTGATTATAAGGAAAACTGAAAGTATGTCATTGTTAAAATTAAAAAAAAATAATAAAAGAAGGAAAGGGGTGGGAATGAGGGAGGGGATATAGGGTGTGAAGTATCATTGTGGTCTTAGAACTGTATATATGTTCCCTTTATATGAATAAAAAACGAAGTTTAAAAGAAGAAAACAAGTGGAGAGATAAGGGAAAAAAAACAAATACAGATCTATGGGCTGCATCCCTCTGTGACCTGATCTGGTGTCAGGCCCAGCCGTAGGTACTAGATAGGTAACTGACCCACGTGAAAGTTTGAAAAATATTAACTGTGTGCCTCAGCTTTCATGGAATAGGGCCCCTTGATTCATAGCCCTACCAAGGTTCATAAAATAACAGAAGATCTTTCTTGGCAGCCAAAAAAATTAAAAAAAAAAAAAAAAAAACAGCACCTTCTACAGCCCGTGAGTTGATGAGATTCCACTCGTGCACACAGTGCATCTCGTACAATAGAGTTTTGTTGGAAGTGACTTCCATTGCAGGGCATCCAGCCCCTAAGTAGAAGGAAGGATACCCTCTGGAGCAACATCCAGGTCTTTCTCCAACACCCTCTGTCCAGGGAGAGTGTCTGACTCCTGAACTCTGGTGGAAGACACTGACCTTGTAGCTCAGCTCTTCCCTTGCGTTCCCTTTCGTGTCCTGCCTGTAGAGAGTGAACAAATTCTGCTGCTGTCTTTACTGTGCAGTCAGGGGGTTTACCACTTGCTGCAAGGGCCTGTGGTTGTACACGTGTGCTAGGGAGGTTAAGTCCATCTAATTTAGGACTGAAATATCACAAACCGTTGTTCTCTCCAAAGCAGGTTTGCTTTTTCTCTATCTGAAACATAGGTAATACAGCTGACATTCTCATTTCCAGTGATTTGACCCATAAATCCATCTCTGAGGCAGAGAAAGGATAGTTTCAAGTAAACAGAGCATTTTGAACCTTTATAAGTATGCCCTTTGAAATTTTCTTTTAATATATAAGCCATCGGAGAATTGTTTGTCTCCTTTGTATCTTTTTTTTCTGTTTGTGTTACTACTTTGGACATCTGAGTATTTATGATTGTTGCAGACACCCCTTTGTGTAAAGATGCAAATATTTCAAACAGGTGAATGCCTGGGTCTCATGGGTTAGGATGAATTTAGCTCTAAGTATATTTGTCACAGTAATATGCATTTGGAAAGGTTTCATAGACGTGAAGTAAATGTTCCCCCAGTGTTGGTTCTTTTCTATGAATATGAAGATGTGTTAATTCCTACGAACTCTCTAGGCTAGCGACGGCAGCCAAGCTCATTCTTTTATAAGACCCCAGGTGTCTCTTCCCTGGAATGTGCATGGCCAACAAAATAACCCAGCCGCTGATTAGCCTGGTCCTTACTCAAAGGGTAATTACATCTTGAATCTTCCCTGTTCTCTTTTCCTTGGAGATTTTCTCACCAAGGAATCACTAAACTAACACTGTTGAATTTATGAGGTGAAAGGCCCAACTGGTGCAGCTGAAAGAATGGAAAGTCTTCGTGTCGTTTTCCTACATACTGTTTGCAGGTTGTCTGAACACGCGTGGAGGAGCAGCTATCTCACCAAGCATGTGGGGGTGAGAGCAGCCGCAGATAAGAACATATACTACATGCTCTTCCTTGCTGACATCTACGTCTCATGCATTTTCATCAATATATATTTGCTTTTCCTAACTGTCATTATTTATCCTGTAATATATGCATTGTGAATACTTTTCTCCGAGAGCTAATTGTAAGCATCCATCTCTTGGAATATGTACTCAGAAAGTGCCATCCAAAACAGCCTTGTTATTTCCTATAGAGCAGTTTAATCATTACGATCTCATGTGATCTCATCTCCACCGAGATGTGCTTCCTGAGAAAATGTAGACTTGCAGCATGTTTGTTAAAATCCAAGTTGAATAAATTACCGTAATATTCAGAACATAGGCAAGGGAGAAACAATATTTTCAGAACTCTCCTGCTTTGCATGCATAATACTCCACACTTTTCCCATTCTAAAACACACTGTGTTATTATGGATGTTTAAATATCATCATAAAGCGCAGGTCAATGTTGCCTAGACAACAGTTTACTTTCCAGCCAGACAGAGTTTTTTTAACAGTCATAAATTCAATGCCGTCACTGAATTACAGCATGGACCATTAGAGCAGTTTAGAGCAATTACCTTTACTTATCCCAAACTAAGCACAGACTGCACAAAGTTAAGTGAAATAATTAACCTCTCACCACAAAAGGCAAGACCAATAAAAAAGTACATATAAAGGTATATTATAAAACTGATCAAGGAATTAAAATGCCACAGTGATTTAAATTGCACATTTCTCAAGCAAACTGGGTACCATATTTCTGAATGTTAATCTCATAAATTTTCATCTGTTTGTGCCAAGACTAGAGTCATTCACTGTTATCTACATTTTCAGCTCTACCCATTGGTAGAAAAACCTGTTGCCAGGAAGCTTAGAAAGCAATTGCATTTATAGTGAAGTGGTATAAAATTTTCACTTTGAGTCTCTGTAGGGAAGCATGGGTTATTGAAGGTTTGCTGTTGAAAAACAATTACTCCATCCATTTACTGAATATTGTTTATTTTTATGTTTTCAAAATGCCCTGTGGGCCTCTTAAAACTTACTGGAAGAACCAATTTAGGAAGAAAATATCTAATTAGCTCAAAAGTTTACAATAGACTGGGAGTTTGCATTGTTTGAGAGTCAGTATGTTTGTTTTGTAGTCTTTATGTGATTCCTAAGTTTGTTAGGCCTGGCATTTGAAACTGTTCCTTGTTTTAGCATGGTCATGAAGATAGGTTTGCATGACTAGTTATGAAATCTAATACACCAATCGATGTCTTGTTCTTTTCGTGTACCCAGTAGCTCTGTATTTGTAGTGGAAGGTGAGCTGCTACCTTAATTCACACGCAGCATGAGAAGATGTTTGAAATTACCTGGTTCTGCTTTCTGGTACCCAAATCAGAAAGTCAGTGACCTAGAAGTTGAAGGTATTCATTGACCATGTATGATGCTTGTTGACAGTGGGGGCTGCAAAACTGAAGTTTTATCCATTTGCATAGGTACAACACTCAAATATCAAAGACACCATAATCAATATAAGGCAATCCAAATGTTAGATGCATGGCAAAGATAGCAATGATTTTAGGAATTCAAAGGAGGGGATATAATTATGGGTAAACCAGTCAGGCAATCAAGATAGCAGTATCAGACTAATAAGAGGTTAGCCTCATCTTGTTCATCTGTCTTAGTCCAAATGACATCCTCTAGAAGAGTTGTCTGAAATACCCCTGTCCTGGAAACACTTTAGCAAGCAATGACTCTACTGTATCAGCCTGTTGATCTCCTTCAGGGTACTTCTCAAAACTTTGAGCTTCTTATGTTTACTTTCCTATTTATGGTCTATGCCACTCACTAAAATCTTACTGCCACGAAGGTAGACACTTTCTATCTTGCTCACAGTGTAATGGCCAGGACTTCCTTAGTCATTGCCACCTGTCAGGCAGTTATTTATTTTTCCTTAATTAGGTAGTTCCTGATCAAGCTCTATCTATTTCAGGTGCATGCTCTTTTGAGGCATGCTAATTTGAGTTGCCTGGATACTTGGAGGTAGCCCACAAGTGACCACGCAAATGTTTTCTTTGTTTGTTGTTTGCTTGTTTTGTGCTTTTTTTAAATCTGAATTTATATTCCCCCTTGGTTGAATGTGATTCTCCTAGTTTATAATGAAATCCAAGCAGGTTTCTTATTTCTCATACTCATTTAAATTAAAAAAAATTTATTATGTACTTTCAGTTTATTTGAAAAGGAGAGAAACAAATGAATAGCTATCTTTTATCTGCTGTTTCACTCCCCCAAATACCTGCAAAAGCCAGGGTTGGGCCAGGTTGAAGTCAATTGCCCAGAATTCAGTCTGGGTCTTCACATGGGTGGCAGGGACACAAGTGCAGGGGCTGTCACCTGCTACCTCCTGGAATGCACATTAGCAAGAAGCTGAGTAGGAAGCAGAAGAGCCGGGAATTGAGTCAGGAACTCTGATATGGGAAGCAAACATCCCAAGTAATGACAGAAGTGCTGCACCAAGTATTTTTAAGAGAAATAATGCCATGTCTACTTTTATTTTCCCAAAAGTTTAAGGCTAACCCGTGAGTAATCTACCACAACATATATTTTTGGAAAACATTTCACACTTACTTGATAAAGACATCTCCCAAATTAGATATAATGTTAAGTAATGGTGTTAAGTAATCCTGCGTAAAAATATCATGAAAAGTTAAAATTTGTAGAGCATGTTGTTTTCACTCAACTGTGGGTGTGTAAATTTCTTTTAATTGTCTGTATTCCCTAAAGGCTAAGAGCTGGTTTATCATACCTTAAAAATACTAACTTAAGGCAACACATTCTGTTTAAAATACGCACTTTATTTGGAAAAACAGTGTTTTTTATATGTATTTATCTACTTTGTTTTTCCTTTAGAATTTCTTTCTCAAAAGAGGGAGGACTCAAAATAACCAATGTGACTAAAGCTGATACTGGAATGTATACCTGTACAGCAGAAAACCAGTTTGGGAAAGCAAATGGAACAACACATTTGGTGGTTACAGGTGGGTGTATTTTTTGTTTAAGATGACTTTACTGAGTGATACACTGTATGGTATATTATGATCAAAAAATTAATTGCATATTTTTCACAAAATGTTGTACACTATGTAGGCAGAATCTGTGATTTCACATGTGTTTTTATTTTTTTTAAGAAATGTTGATTTTAAAGACTGATAGGGAGGGAGACAGATGTTCCATCTGCTGGTTTGCTCCCCAATAGCCAAGAGCTTCCAGGCTAGGCCAGGAAGAAGGCACGGTCCAGGAACTTCTTCCAGGTCTCCCACATGGATAGCAGGAACCTAAGTGCTTTGGCCATCATCCACCACCTCTCCAAGCATATTAACATAAAACTGGATCACAAGCATAGAGTAGCCAGGTCACGAACCAGGCACTTGGATATGGAGTGTGGGCATCCCAAGCAGTAGCCCAACCTGATGCAGCACAGTGCCTGACCCATTTGTGTGAAAGTTAAGGGCATAATTTTTAAATCTCTCTTTGGCACAATACAGTGTGCCCAGGGGACCATGTTGGTTTCTGGGCTGGAATGATGGGCAGTAAGAATTACTGCTACTCTTCTGTCACTTTTTCTTTTTCATTGTCATTGTTATTTTCTGGAAATATCCATGAAATAACTCAATATTAGTAAGAACCACTTCAAGCTATGGATATATTTTGTTTCTTTATCCATTCAAGAAAAAGCAAAAGGTACACCTATTAGATTCCAACTGCTTGGGCTCTGTGAAGAAACACGTGGAAAAAGATATTTTCCCCAGAGTATGACCCTCTAACAGAGGTAGAAGAAATATAGGCAGTAGGACTAAGAAGAAAGGAAGTTATTAAAAGGAAAAAAGTTGTAAACCATTGAGAATGTAGAGAGGGTTATATGGGGGCATGAGTTTGAATATAATTAGGATGGTCAGAATCACCAAGAAGGAAAATTTTCAACAAAAGTTTTGTGGAGGTGAAGTTTCCTTAGGGACAAGTATTATGTGTAGATTTGTTACCTTCAGTTGGATTGAAAAGATTTTGAGAAGAGGAAAGGAATGATATCAACTCCATTTCTAATGGATTCCAGTAGATGTTGAGAAGAGACTATTGTACAAGGATAGAGGGAAAGGAGATTTCAAGAGACAATTGCTAGGCTGGTGCCATGGCCCACTAGGCTAATCCTCTGCCTGCAGCACCGGCACTCCGGGTTCTAGTCCCATTTGGGGTGCCGGTTCTGTCCTGGCTGCTCCTCTTCCAGTCCAGCTCTCTGCTGTGGCCCAGAAAGGTAGTGGAGGATGGCCCAGGTCCTTGGGCCCTGCACCTGCATAGGAGACCAGGAGGAGGCGCCTGGCTCCTGGCTTTGGATTAGTGCAGCACGCTGGCCGTAGTGGCCATTTGGATGGTGAACCAGTGGAAGGAAGACCTTTCTCTCTGTCTCTCCCTCTCACTGTCTAACTCTGCCTGTCAAAAAAAAAAAAAAAAAAAAAAGAGAGAGAGAGAGAGAGAGAGACAATTGCTATAAACCAGGCAGAAGATAAAAATAATCTAAATGAGGGTGACACCAGAGAAATTTGATAGGATGGGGTCAGATTCTGCATATATTCTATATATGGACTCAGCAGACAATTTGGGTGTGAAAATGTGAAAGAAGTAGTCTTGGGTGGCTTCAGGTTGTTTGGTAAACAGCTGGAAGAATCATAGTAAAAACAGTTGAGATGGGTTGTACAGATTTGAGAAGGAGAAAGATAGGCACTGTCGCTCCCCGTATTCGTGGAGGAACGACACAGGACCCTGCGTTGTTCTTTCGTCTGCTCGGCCCTTCCCGGGTTAGCTGCTGGTTCTTCCCGGGTTGGCTACCGACCCTTCCACCTCCGTGAAAGGGCGGTTCCCCCTGCCACTTTCCCCACTTCCGCGGGGGAGCGGCACACCGCCGGCCGGCTCTCTCGGGGGCTGCACAGGTGTTCCCTCAGATAGATGTTCCTCATGCATGTTGTCTCTCTCCTCCTTTATAGTCCTCCTCCGCCAATCCTAACTCTGCTACCCACACGCCGAGTACGCTGCTCTCCTCCAATCAGGAGCAGGTCCTGCTGTTTATTGGTTGAACTGGAGGCAGCTGCGTAGAAGCTGTTACTCCCTTCTCAGCGCCATATTGTGGGAGAGCAGATGCATAGAATAAGTCTTAATTCCAGTAACAGTCTAGTCCGAGTTGCTCCCCACAGGCACGTTGAATATAAGATGTTTATTTGACTCTGTCTCTGTAAAGCGGATCATGGGTTTACTAAAATCTCAGTGGTCAAAAATACCATATGTTTACATTTTATTCACTACATGTCCATGGTGAGTCAGCTGTACCGTCCTCACTCACACTCACAGGGATCCTGTGTCTCCATCATCTGGGATATATCCCATAACCCTGGAAAGGGAAAGAAGACACACCAAATTACCTGTTCATTCTTGCAGACTTCTGCCTGTTGGTACCACACGTAACTCCTACTTAGATTTCATTTGCCAAGGACAGAGTTGGCTGTGCCTGAAAAGTGTTAACAATTTAGTTCTACATGCACTGAAGGGAGTAATGGAAAACAACACCCAAGTGGAGATCCTGAGTATGTAGTTGGCCATGTGAATGTGGATTTGAGGAGAGACATCAAGGATGGAGATAGGTATTTGGGCATTGTTGTCATATACACGGGTCCTTGAAGCAAGAGCCTAGCTGAAATCACTGAGAGATAGAGTGAAGATGGGGAATTTAAGAAACCAAGGACTGAGCTTGAGACTTTCCATCTTAAGAAATTTAGGGGAAGCAGAGGGACCTATTAGGAGACAGAAAAGGAGTGATCAGCATGGTGGAAGAAAGCTAGAAGAGTATGGTATTCCAGAAAACAAGTGTACCACATGTACCAAGTAGAAGATAATGACCAAGGGTACTACATACAGCTGAGAGGCCATGTAATGCAAGACCCAAGATTACCCCAGGAAACCAAGCAGAGCGAGTACTGGGAATCTTAATTGGAGCAGTTGAATGGGGGAGCCCAAAGCCTGCACTGGGGTGAGGAGGGAACTTGATAGATCAATTGCAGACAAGTAGACTAAATGGTTCAAAGTTTTTGCTGCAACATGAGGACTAGCAGTGGGAAAGTGGGAACAAGATAAGTTGAATTCTCAATAGGTGAGTTTGTGGTGATGACAAGGGGAAAGTGTGCATGTGGACATTTGTATTGGGGAAAACCAGACATTAGTTAATGTTTCAACATAGTACTCCTTCCACTGTACCCAGTCCAAACATTCTTTGCAAGTGTTTTAGTCTATTTACATTTTTGGTGCTGTTATATTTGGTAGTCATTCAAACTTGGTGAAAACATAGTAGTTTCTCTTTAAGCCCCTGCATTTCAAAATACAATAAAATTAAGTTGAACTTGATTTTGCTAGTCTTATTTTAACTCATATCTACAGGTGGCTCTAATTTTTAACTTACATAACCTATAAAATCAGATATCCTAATTCCTTTAAGAAGAGTTTTTGCATCTAGTGAAATGTGTCATAACTGCACATCAAATGTTGGTTTTAAACTTGAAAGTTTGTTACAATGTAGGTTTTTGTATATACCTATGCATATGCAGACATATCCATTGTAAATTACTAGTTTGTAGAGATTGCACTCATCATAACAAAAAAAATGCTAAAGTTTTGCTTAAAAATTATTTTCCCAATAGAACCAACAAGAATAACTTTGGCACCATCCAACATGGATGTCTCAGTAGGCGAAAGTGTCATTTTGCCCTGCCAGGTGCAACACGACCCCTTGTTGGACATCATGTTTACCTGGTATTTCAATGGGGTCCTCACGGATTTTAAGAAAGATGGATCTCACTTTGAGAAAGTTGGTGGGGTAAGTTGTGACACTTTCTTCATGATTTTTGTATTATACATTTCTCTAACATACTGCTTCTAAAAATGTGCCTGCCACCTAGGCAGTGCTCTAGAAATGTTTGTTAAATAAGTGAATCTGAATTCTCAGTTCTGTTTTGATCTGATTTTGCTTTTGTTTTTACCAGAAATTTAGCATACTTACTTTGACCTGTAATTTTGCTTAAAATTGATGTGTTTGCACATTTATATTAAATGTTATTTTTCAGGACAATTTTGTTGTTAGTATCCCACTTGTGAAGAGTTTTTTTTTTTTTTACACAAGGGACTTCATAGTTCCTAAAAAAAATGAATTACAAGATAGGTTTGTTTTGGCACAAAAAAAAAATGTTTGAAATATTCATGGAAACTGTGTATTATGAAAAAAAGTATGCATGTGTTTCAGTTTTTTGTACCAAAATAAGCTTACCTTTTACTTCTATTTTTTCCCATGAACCTTGTTTTCAGAGTCAGAGAGAAAGGGAGAATGAGAGGGAGAGACAGAGACAGAGACAGAGCAAGAGAGTGCTCCCAACCAGTGATTTACTTTCCCAGTGCCACAGTATCTAGGGCTGGACCAAGCCACAGCCAGGAGCTGAGAACTCAATGTAGGTCTCCCACATGGGTAGCAAGGATCCAACTCTTTGAGTCATTGCCACGGTCTCCCTGGGTCTGCAGTTGCAAGAAGATGGAGTCAGGAACCAGAGCTGAGACTCAAACCCAGACAGTCTGGTGAGGGATGCCCTGGCATTTTAAACTGATAGGCTAAACCGCCGCCCATTGTGCACTTCTTAAAGTATCTGTGGACCAATAGCATTTCTCAACATGAAATGTTTATGATGTCTCTCCCTAGGCTATATCTCAGTTACTGTGTCAAAGCAAGTGCTTCCTCTCAAGTAATCTTTACAACGGCACTGGACATTAGCAGCGAGACTGTTTTACAGGTGCAAAACCAGACGATTTGTTAAGTTTATTAAGTTGCTCCAGTTACTCAGTTCATCAGTGGTGGAACACCAAGCTCCACGACACAGGTTTCTCCAATGTTCCATTCCATTGTGTCCTCATCTGTGGCGGTTCCACATTAGCAAGAATCAGTGATACCAAGGAAAAGCTGGTACTTGTAGGAGACTAATTAACAAGTGACTCGATGCTGGTGAGATCCTGGGGCTAATGGTAGACCTCACAGCTGGTCGCACATCTGGTAATCCAGAAGTGTGAGGCAGACTCTTTGCACTGACACAGAGATAGCTTCTTTCTGTTTGGCTCAGGTGTATGGCAAGTGATGCTTAGCTAAGTCCAGGGTTGGTCTGTAAGGACTGAATATGTCGGCATCACTAATCAACTGGGCTAAATTCATCTGACAACAACTTCTTATAACTTTATAACAATGTGACCTTATTTGGGAATAGGTTATTGCAGAAGCAATTAGATTAAGGTGGAGTCACCCTGGAAGGGGGTGGGCACTGATGCGATGTAACTGATGCCCTTATAAAGGATGGCTGTTTGAGTGGCACACAGTGGCATGGCTACCAGACAGTAGTGCGGGGTTTGGAGTGGTGCTGCCCAAGCTATAGAATAGCTGGGCTGTCAGGAGCTTGGAAAGGCAAGAGAGGTTCTCTGCTTGAGATTTGGGAAGGAGCCTGGCCCTGCAACACCTCGATCTCACACTTGCAGCCTTTGCAGCTGTGAGAAGATGGATTTCTGCTGTTTCAAGGCACCACAGGGTGTGGCACATCGTTATGGCAGCCCTGGGGCCCTGAGAGGGATATTTTTAGAAGGAAGAGGTTCTTGAGATGCTTAGAATTCTAGTCACAATTAAGCTCAATATCAAATCATTTCTATTTGTATCACCTGTGTTAGTCAGTTTTAAGAGTATCAGTTAATTCGAATCATAAAACTTTTCTGATATGAAAGTACAAGTTTTTAACTTTGAGTTAAAAAAAAAACTACCTTCTGGAAAGTTTTGTGGTGAACAAAAATATTACTCAGTTTATACAATTGATTTTATGCCAATTAGGGTAGATTGTTACTCTTTTTGTTAAAAAAGAAACATAATAAAGACATTTCCAGTATTTTTTTTTTTTTTTTGACAGGCAGAGTGGGCAGTGAGAGAGAGGGACAGAGAGAAAGGTCTTCCTTTTGCCATTGGTTCACCCTCCAATGGCTGCTGCGACCGGCGCACCGCTCTGATCCAAAGCCAGGAGCCAGGTGCTTCTCTTGGTCTCCCATGGGTGCAGGGCCCAAGTACTTGGGCCATCCTCCACTGCACTCCCTGGCCACAGCAGAGAGCTGGCCTGGAAGAGGAGCAACCGGGACAGAATCCGGCGCCCCGACCGGGACTAGAACCTGGTGTGCCGGCGCCGCAGGTGGAGGATTAGCCTACTGAGCCGCAGCGCCGGCCTCCAGTATTTTTTAAAGAAAAAAAAAAAAAAGAGTGCTAGTTTATTAATTGTTCTGACTGATTTAAGGCTATTGGGAATTTTACCAATTGTTACAACATATAACATTTCTTTTTCCTTTGCTTTAAATGTCGATTTTTATTAAAAAGTCACCAATTCAGTTCCCTTATTTCATGCTCAGCATCCCTCATGATTTTCCCTTCCTTGGGCAGAAGGCAAGGGAAAGATCAAAGACTAAAATGTTCGCTTCATAATGACCCCTTATCTGGTCTCAAAAAGGCTATGACCCAGTTCCTCCCTTAAATGTATACAGTAGTCCCTCTTTTCCCACCATTTTACTTTCTCCACTTCCACTACCTGTGGACAACGAGGGTCAAAAAGTCTTAAAGGAGAAATTCCAGAACAAAATAGTTCATACTTTTTATTTTTACATTTACTTATTTATTCAAAAGGCAGAGTTACAGAGAGATAGACAGGGGTAGGGAGGAGAGAGAGTGATAGAGAGAGAGTGTGTGTATAAAAGAGAGAGAGACAGAGAGAGACCTTCCACCTGCTGCTTCACTCCTCAAATGGCCACAACAGCCAGGGCTGGGCCAGGCCGAAGCTTGAAGCCAGGAACTGCCTCTAATATCTCACATGGGTGGCAGGACCCAAAACAGTTGGACCATCTTCTGCTGCCTTACCAGGTGCATTATTAGGGAAGTAGATCTTTGACAGTGGAGCAGCTGGGACACGAACTGGCACTCATATGGGATGCCAGTGTTGCAGGTAGCGTCTTAACCTGCTGTGCCACAGTGCCAACACTCATCTGTTTGAAATAACTTTTATTGCAGTAACTACTATACTTGCTCATTTTATTGTTAGTTATTGTTCATCCCTTAGATCCTATGCAGAACTTATAAATTAAACTGCATCACAGGCATGCATGTATAGGAATAGCAGTTGAATATAAAGCATTCTGTTCTGTATGTGGCTTCCCAGCATCCACTGGGGGATCTGGGAATATATCCTCTCTGGACCACCATAATTCTTAGATAAATAATTCAATTTGAAACATTAGTTACCTTTGCCATATAATGTAGATGATTATGTGTGTGATTCATTTCTCAGCTGGATTGTAAACTGTTGATAATATTTTGTCTAAGCCAGTGCCCTCTGTCTTAGCTAATGCTAAATAAGTGTGTATTGAAAGACTGAAAATCCAAAGCATTTTGATTGCAATATGTGTCAGCCAGTTGCAAACAAACACTAAGACTGAGCCAGATTGCTGTTTTCTGTGAGAGCAGCTTGGAGTTGAGAGCATTTGAGTTTGTAATATAATTTAACTCTCCTGATTTCCTCAGCACTGATAGAGAAGGCATAAAGTCATTGCTGTACAAGAGTCAAGTATCTGAAACGTGAAATTTCATAAATTAATGCTATCACTTGCCAGTTCTATTCTTTCTCTAACATGCTAGTTCATGGCCTATGAATGTTTTTTATTGACTGCTGCCATTAGTAACTTAATAATCTCCCATCAGTATAAAGCAGGGAGCCATACAAGATGGCATTCCCCTTAAGCACAAGCAATTAAGTAAATCGGTTTTCTGTGGTGGGAGACGGCAATCAGATGACAACTCTTCTCTTCTGGTTATGTATTCACAGTAGCATACCCATAAAGACCTGGAGAATCTGTGCATCTTTTTTTCTGATATTACCATAGATTGGTCCCCTGGTTTCAAAAGCAGCAAGGAGACTGTGACGTGAGAAAGTTACCTCCAAAGGTGGTAGCAAGAGCCAGGTTTTCAAAAGAAAGGGGTAGTTTCCATTATGGAAAATCTATTGGGGAGAATTGAATCCATTCAGGCAATTGTCCTTGGGGACTGTATTAGTTATCAGGCTCATTGATGCATTTTTTATGATTTTATTTTATTTTATTTTTTTGAGAGGCAGAGTTACAGAGTGGGAGAGACAGAGAGAAAGGTCTTCCATCCACTGGTTCACCCCACCAAACAACCACAATGGCCAGAACTGAGCTGATCCAAAGCCAGGAGCCAGGAGCCAGGAGCTTCTTCCGGGTCTCACACATGGGTGCAGGGGCCGGAGCACTTAGATCATCTTTTACTGCTTTCTCAGTCCACAAGCAGAGAGCTGGATCAGAAGAGGAGCAGCCAGGACACAAAGCGGCACCCATGTGGGATTCCAGTGCCACAGCAAGAGGCTTAGCCTATTATGCCACAGCGCTGGCCCCCCTCATTGAGTCATTTTTTAAAAATATACACTTTTTGTAGGGAGAAACCATAGCTCAAAAAAGCTCCAGTAATTTTGGCTGGATCTGTTATGTAGACTAGAGAATTAAGTATGCCAAAGAAGTGTTATGACCCCAGTCACGGGTTTCTGACTCAGAATTACACAGAGAAGCGTATTAAACCCAGTGTTTAAAGCACACTGGCACAAAGAAATGTTGCTCCATGCTTCAGTCTGTGTCCAAGGGACGAAGCAAATCGTGTAATGAAATGGGTGAAAAGCTTTCACTTAACATCCACCGTTGGCCAAGCAAATCTCAGTTCTAGGCTTGTGAGCGGGAAGCGGGGGATTTGTGTTC